CTACTAATACTACTACTACTACTACTACTACTACTACTACTACTACTACTACTACCACCACTACTACTACTATTACTGCCCGATGGTTCGGCCGTCGTTGCCGACGATGTACACCATGTGCTCCGCAACAAGGCGAAGCAGGCACGGTGACTTGAGGGCTATTTGGTTTATAGTAAATGTAGACCTGCACAGCATCTACCGCGCCCTCTCCTCCTCCTCCCCCCCTGTCAAGACATAGTCAAGAAGACCGGAGCTGGGAGATGGTGCAGGTGGCCGACTACTCCTCCATGTTGCATTCCGAGACTTGAACCTGCCTTATCCTCGGAAAGTGCGTCGTACGTTCTGAGGCTACGAAAGCGTTGTTAAGTTTCTTACTTCTTAAGTCTACATGTTGGCCTCTTTTAAGCGCGCAATAGCGGTGGCATTTCAGGTGCGTTGAACCCATGTGATCTTCCGTTCTAAATCCTGTATCAGCAGCAGCAGCAGCAGCAGCAGCAGCAGCAGCAGCAGCAGCAGCAGCAGCAGCAGCAGCAGCAGCAGCAGTAGTAGTAGTAGTAGTAGTAGTAGTAGTAGTAGTAGTAGTAGTAGTAGTAGTAGTAGTAGTAGTAGTAGTAGTAGTAGTAGTAGTAGTAGTAGTAGTAGTAGTATTGTCGCGTGTAACACGCGTGGATGGGTTGATTAGGCTTGTCAGCCACTGTGCCTGATCCGATCGCCTTGTCGCCGGGCCCAGATGGGTGAGGGAGGAGAGGATGCGGCAGATGCGACGCAAGTCTGCTAACACTTTAAACTAATTCGCGCGCGTGCGGTCGTTCTGCGCCCACCATGCTGTAGAGTAAGCGGTGGTCGTCGTCATTCTCGACGGTCGAAGTGATATGTAGCCAACACTACTTCCATGTTCCAAATTATCATCAGAAATGTTACTTTTACACCAAGGGACTTTCGCTGTCTTGGTGTAGAGATGGCCTCCAGGGCGTTGGCGTTATGTGGTGGTGGTGGTGGTGGTGGTGGTGGTGGTGGTGGTGGTGGTGGTGGTGGTGGTGTTTACTGTAGCAAGTCCTGATTCACTGAGAACTCCCGCCCATCGCGTTACTCATACAACGTTGCGGCAGCGTCATCCAACCTGCTGTCCACTCGTTGAAGCTAGCACCGATATAGGGCTCTTCCAGAAAGGATCTTAAGCCTCCGATTTGGCCATTCTGAACTGCATTTTTGGATGCGTAACCAACAGTCTACACAAAAAGGCAGGTTTCCTTCGTATCACAAGGATTCTCTCCACAGTCTTCGGCAAAATGATGCCCATGGGTAAATACGGAGGAAGGAAGGAAGGAAGGGAGGAGGAATGAAGCCGAGGGAGATCGGATAATTAGTACCTCTCACCGCACTTCAAGTAACCACGCTTTACATTTCTCCCAATTATAACCCTAACTCCATCTGGAATGTAGCGCAAAGCCACCTGTAATGAGGAGAGTGTACTTATAACCGTTCCCCACCGAGATCGGACGCGGTGGTCGTAATTATCTGAGGGTGGAGATTTTAACTCCTCCGGGCATCCCTTTAAATTGGTATCCCTGACTTGAATGCGAATGGTCTCACGAACTAACGAGTTATATCTCACAAGCCCTTGGCATTTAAGGCAGCAAATAAAACCGGCCAGTGAATAATATAGAAATTCTGAACGTTATGGAACCTGACAACAGAGCGATACAACTGAGCAGGCCAGCAAAGCGGGTTGTACAGGTGTGTTGTTTTTCGTCACATTCAAACAAGCAAACCGGGCAAAGAAAATTGGACTACATTGTCAAAGGTAAATTAGTCCGGTACCTCACCACCTCCCCTTAAAATGGAAGAGCGAGGTATAGCAGGAAGACCTGACTGCTTATCGCACAGCGACAAGGAGGCGACGAAGACAGTTCAGGAAGAGATTATGACAGCCACAACGAAACAGGAACATCAGCAGCAATAACCACCACGAGAACGACACAGGTAATAGCAACAAGAGCGTCGACCGTAAAACCATTACCAGAAGATTTCTTGAGGCCTGACGTATCTGGTTTTTCGTACCACATAGATACGCCGTCCATGCCCATTGCATTATATGGGAACGAGTACCTTGTACAATAGACACGGACATATATTTTTGCGAGCAGAACTAATGTTTGGGAGCTCCTGATTCCAGTAAACGGATAAAGAACAAAAGAACCACAAGATGACGATGTGAGCAGGGTTCTTAATCAAAGTTGTGTCGATCATTAGCAGGCGTTTTTAGCTCACTAAAACAAGACGCTCTCTGCCCCTACAAACTACAAGCCAAACTGCATGTGCATGCGAGTGAGAGAGAAAAAAAACAAGTTCTTTTTTGAAAACAGTGGCGTCCCTAACAACGAAACGACTGGCAAGCGGTGAGGATCCGCGACCTAGTGTTTTTAGTCCAACTGCTGTTTATGCACGCAATTTAAGATAAACAAAAAATGAAGGTCACTGGAAATGATAAATGATTACGAAAAAGTAGGACATTTAGTGAGACAGGTCCCAGAATTGCAGCCAGCTGCTCCACTTCTAAGCCATTGTAACAACGCCGGCCAGAGGTAAGACGTAATCCATATGTACTTATTTCCGACTCACAAATCGAACGTATTTCACTCTGAATCCCATAATTTCTATAATAAACCCTAAAATACCCAATTTATTCAAATATGAGGGACTCTAGGGCTCCACCAGACTGACAATACCTTGCCCATCAAGGCCATCGAATGCTTACTAGATCTTAAAACAGACTCTCCTTGAGGGCTAAAGCGAAGATATGAGTACTAAGGTATCACTAAAAAGAAGGGGCTCGGTAGTTGGATCTATCAATGTATGTATCAAAGCCTTTTAATCGTCATAGGTGTCCAGTAAAAATGCTCGGTAGGACTGAATTATGGTGACGTCTAAACAGAACATGAGAAGAGGAACTATCTGCAATACGGGCGACTTTGAACCAACTTCCAGTTAAATTAGGGTTAACTTTAAGGCAAGGGTTAGGATCAAGTCAAGGTGTAGGTTTAAGGATAGATTTAAAGCCGACGGTAACCTAAGTCAGGATCAAGTTTAGGGGGCCAAATAAGTCAATCCCGCCAAATGCTTCACAGTAGTCGTGTTTCGCGATAGCCTCTGGTCGATTGGAGACACTGGCACCGGCCCGTGTGGTAATGCCCTCTGCCGCCTCAGATGCACTTCTGATACTCGGCAGAGGACGCCGACGGTTTGGTTAGTGGCCCCCCTTTGGTCCTCTGCATCCGAATGCGGTAATGCCCATAAAATGAAGGCTGCCGCCAAAACTGCCCCCACAATTGCACTAATCAGGAAGGCATGCATAAATACCCAGACTGCGCGCACGGAGCGGATTGCGGTGACACACTCTGGAGACAGGCCGTTAATTCGACAGCGCGGACACAGAGATAACGGTAAGAGGTGAGGCCGAGAACGGTCTGACGACCGGACCTCTGGTAGCAATTTCATAGGTCGCTAATATCGACCCGGCGCGCGCCTAGCACGGGCTGCAAACTCAGTTACGGATGGTCTGACCTAGTTATCGGTCAAGGCCGCACGCGATCAGCCTGCGGTGAGACGTTACGAAATCACGCATTCGTTTCCGATGTTGGACTGTTTAAAGGGTTCTAAGGATTATACAGCGACATTGTCGGTTTCGATTACCTCTTCTTCTTCCTCTTCTTCTTCCTCTTCTTCTTCTTCTTCTTCTTCTTCTTCTTCTTCTTCTTCTTCTTCTTCTTCTTCTTCTTCTTCTTCTTCTTCTTCTTCTTCTTCTTCTTCTTCTTCTTCTTCTTCTTCTTCTTCTTCTTCTTCTTCTTCTTCTTCTTCTTCTTCCTCTTCTTCTTCTTCTTCCTATTATTATTATTGTTATTATTACTACCAGCATAATTCTTCTTTCTTATCTTTTTCTGTCGCTTTCTTCATTTCGGGAAGGTAATATCGATTAATTTGCACAGATGATTGCGATTGCTCAAGACTAGATCAGCCGCGTCCAACCGAAGGGCGGAAGTCGAAGATTCATCTTCGCCTGGTGGCAGACGCCCAGAAGTTGCGTAAATTCCTGTCTCTCGTAGCCAGTCTTGATCATCAATCTTATATTTACGGCCGAAATAATCTATGTTCATATGCTGTAATCGTCAACAATCTATCGTTTCCCCTTCCTTGAGGGTGATGTTGGCAGGGTGATTTAGTCAAGTAACTGGAAACTAAACATTCCTCCCAAATGAACTTCGCCTCATCTCTATTCGCGCTTATACTATACCGCAGATGCTGAAGTCTCTGAAAGATATTTTGGTAGGACTAACTTATGTGGGCGGCTAAACAGGACATGAGAATAGGAACCTCCTGCAATAAGGCTGGCTTTGAGTCAACTTTCAGTAAGATGAGGGCTACATTTAAGGTAAGGGTTAGGGTTAAGTTAGTAAAGTGTTCCCAGTTAGCGGTAACGCAGGTTAGGATTAAGTTTAGGGTTATGATAGGGGCCAGTGTTATCTGCATGGTTAAGATTTAGGGAAGAGTTAGGAACCAGATTAGGGCAACGGTCTAGTTTTATATTAAGGTTATTTTTGGGAGTTAGGACACGAGAATACTTAGCCATTTTCAGAATTATGCGCTAGCACACTTCCATTACTCGGAAGGGCGTTCTTCTTCCCATGTCCTGTTTAAGGAACCGCCGGTATTTTACAATGGAACTGGTCATGTGCGCATCGGGAAAACATGAAAAGCCATAATTCGTCCGCCAATTAGATCTCTGTATACCTAAACGACTAGCTGTTGACGTTGACGAGTGGTTAAGGGTAAGAAGACTCGCGAAAATCTGACTGTGATCAGCTGGTTTCCAATGTGCTTAAGGTGCGTGTTACTGCATATTTCACTTACTATACTTATTGCCACATGCAGTAATTTCTTTTCTGTTAATACAGAGTAAGTGATCAGTCTCATTATATGTCGACTCAAATGCTGCAATGCATTTTCGACTAGGAAGGACTATTTCGATTGGTTTGTAAAATTACTTACCTTGTAGCCCAATCCCAGCATAGCTCAGTCACACCAAGATGCCGACTTCTGGATGAATTTCCTTCCAGCCGCTTACGAATCCGCATCTGGTAGAAATATCTGCTGAGGGAGTAGGATTTTATCCCTTTTATTTTCGATGCTCTTTTAAATTCAACAGTTTTTACAGGAAACATGAGCAAAATATTTCTTCCTCGTACCCATTTAGTAAAAGATAACTTCTTTTCCAGTTTTATACTAGGGGAAAGAGTATCTTTAGAGTTTTCATGTTTGTAATCATGAATTTTTGGACTGCAAAATGTCCATTCAAACAGTATTGAATAAGTACTTTTACTAATGCTTCTTATAAAGCACACAACATGGTACACGTCATTCGCCAAGTTTTATGACCCCATATGATGCCTCCCTAATGTCAGTGGGGGAATGAATAATTAGTCTTACATGGATCGCATACAACTTGTGGACTGTGAACCTTAGGCGCAAATACAACGACAGATGGGGCTAAAAATTATTCGGGAATTAATTGCTGCAATCTCATCACGTTCGTTGGATGTTGGTGTGATGGTTGCTCGACCATCTGACGCGCTGACCCTGGTGTTGGGAAAAGTGTTCACCTGTGCGCTCCCCGACCACGTGCAACGATCCCTGATGAAAGGGGGAGCCGTGAATGCGTTATGCGGTAGCATGGCTACTGCATCCTCTAAATACTGCAGCCCCTTATGCATGAACCACCCGTATCTGCTTTTGTCTCTGATGATGGGTTCGAGCAGGAATTCGGAACGTCAGGCTAATAAAACTCTTGCCCTAGCAATCTTGTCTCCTTTTTCAAGACTGATTCCTGGGACTCGTTCCTTCGCTTCTATTGACTAATGTCAGCATTAGAGTTGAGTCTAGGTTTAGGGTCAAGGTATAGGTTAAGATATGGGGCTAGAGTTAGGACACGGGAATATTTTTCCTTCTTGGAATTTCGCGTCGGGGGGAGTAGAGAGGGACTCCTATTCCTGAGTCTTACCCAGTTGTTTTACCGGCCACTAACTACACTCGGATGATGCCCCGTTCTAGCCTACGCTAATATTTCGCATAAACACTCACCTTTATAAGCTTGCTTACACCTAAAGACTAAACTCATGAAATGTTAACCACAATGTTGAAATGCATTTTTGATTAGGAAGGATTGCTTGAGTGGATTTGTAGGGTTGATCGTAATGTAACCAAATCCCAGTATAGCTCAGTCACACCCAGATGTCGGCTTCTGAATGAACTTCCTTCCAGCCGCTTGAGAATCCGCATCCGGGAGAAATATCTGCTTAAAGAGTAGAATTTTATCCCCTTCATTTGCGATGCTCTTATAAATTCAACTTATTTTTATAGGAAACATGGGCAAGAATATGTCTTCCTCATACCCATTTGGTAGCAGATCATTTCTTCCAGGTTTATACTCTAGAAAAGAGTATCTGTATCTGTATCTGTAATTTACCTTTCACAATTTAGTCCTGTTTTCTTGGCCCGCATTGCTTGTTTGAATGTGACGAAAAACGACACACCTGTACAACCCGCCTTGCTAGCGTGATCCACCGTCGTGTTCTTTTGTCAGTTTTCTTAACGTTCAAAATCTTTATATTATTCACTGCTCAGTTTTACTTGCTGCCTTTACGGCTAGGGGCTCGTGAGATATAACTCGTTAGTTCGTGAGGACATTACCATTTACGTCAAATCCGTATTTTAACTAATACTCCTTATGAAATGGCCGGCATGGCACACGTAATTGTCACAGTTTTATGACCCCCCCCCCCCATATGACACCTCCTTAATAGCATAGAGGGGCGAATGATTCTCCTCACATGAAATATATACAGCTTGTAGAATGTAAACTCTAAATGCAAATGCAACGGCCGATCGGGCTAAGACTTATACGGGGATCAAAATATTTTTTTAAACCTAAGATGCCCTTTCTCCGAGCGAGAAATTTGAGGAAGGCATGATTCACCACCGAAAAAGTCCAATAAAGGTTATTTTTAGTCGTGTTTCTTATATAATCTACTTGCACTTATAAAGACACCAAAAATCCAAGGGGTACAATCATATTACTCAGATAGCCGTTTTTTAACGGTGGCCGAAAAGAAATGCCTTCAACAGCCGGCATCCTGACGTAGACGAAATGTTATGGGATTGTGCCGCATGATATGCAGTATTACAAACCCAATCGAATAATCCTCCTTAATCAGAAATGCGTTTCAGTATTTCGACCGACAGTTCATGAGACTGGCTACTGAATTTAAATTGTACCCAGAATGAGCCAGTGAGGAATAATAAAGTCACACAGAATTACCACGGGTGTAAGGACATAATCGCCCGATTTCTGAATTTAACTTACTTTGAAGGCTTTTGGGCACTCAGTTCATTCAAACTACCTACCACCTCTATGATAAAACTCTCTATCGGTTCACATGCTCGATTCATGAATGATAGATTAACCGGTCTCTGGGGAGGGATTGATCGCTTCCAACACTTCCAGAGTTTGCAATCGGCAGAGATCGATCAAGTTGATCCGATTGTTGTTTGTCTCCATCCACTAGGTGACAGTTTTTTTATATTCTGAACGCATGGTTCTAAGCGATCCAAAACTGTTGTAAGTCGAAGTATTTTGAATAATTCCCGGAATTCCAGCCTATTCCTGTTCGTTGATTTCTATTACCACGCGTAATGTTTAGTGTGACGCTGTCTGTGAACTGGTACTCAAAGTAGTACTCATTATTTTTATTTTATTTCAGGTCGCCATGTGCGTCTAGCCGACAGTAAATCCACGATTGTGGACATTCATTTGAGCACGATCAAACAACCTCTGGAGAAAGGCAAGGGCGACTGGAATGTCCATTTCTGGCTTATTAGCAATCGTCAGCCAGCTATGCGCAGCCCCAAGGTGTGAAACACCTGGGGCTCGATCCCGCGACCCGTTGGTTGGAAGTCCAACGTCCCTAACCACTGACCCACAGATATCATGCCTGAATTTGATCCTAAGTCCATACCGGTCAGTATTTTGATCCAATCCGTTGATTTATAGGTATTTTGGCAGCGATTTAACTCCTAAGAAGACGCCTTGGTCAAGCTGTCTCACGAACCATCCCAGCAGCAAGGGTTAGAATACTATTCTCTACTAACCCTATTTTGCGCGAGGAAGGTAAGGTCAGGTTGCCAACTCAGACCACCTCAGTGCGCATCTACTCCTTCACTTACTTCTGCGGAGCGGGTTATATTGGTCGTAAGAGTCAGTGCCTATCCAAGAGAATACGAGAACACCGACCGGCATGGCTAAGAAGCAGCCAAATTAGAGGCATAAACAGTGCCATTCTTGCGTATGTTGTTGTTGCCGGACTTCATATGGACTCAAACGAAGCTTTTAATGTAATTTATAAGGTTCCATATACCTACCCAACTACTGGGCTAGCTCCTGTTAGCAACAACAGGAGCGGTAGCCATCAGGTTACGAAAACCGATCTTGTGCGAGCAGAAGGACTACGTTCATGCTCCGCACATACCGTGGTCCAAAGTCAACTAACCATGCACCCTCCGCACACATCCGCCCTCCTTCCCGCTATGGCACTGACTATTATTACCATCCCCTTCCCCCCCCCCCTCCCCAAATCCCAACACCCCGCCTCTGTTTTAAGACGAACTTTGATCGATTTCTCTAATTACTGAAACGTTTTTTCTTCTAACCCATTCCTACATAAATGTACTAACCTGACGAGAATTTATCGAAAGCAGGCATATGCTCGCCAATTAGTCTTCTGAATGCTGTCATGGAAATTTTCTCGCAGACTAGGTATACTTGTTTGCAAATAGACCAAGTGGCAGGCTAGGCATTGAGATTGAGCGAACTCCGGCCGATCAATAGTTTTCCTCCCTACGAAAAGCATCTTGCCGTGCCAGTACTATCACCGACCATGAATGAGAAACGTGCTGACATGCTGAAGCAGTGAAGTCTTGTGTGACATTTCGAATGCTTTGGCCAGGAATATAGGTCTTTAAATAAGCGTAGGTGTACACAATAGTAGTAATAGTAGCAGTAGTAATAATGACAATAATTATGGAGTTCTCTACAACAAAAGAGGAGACGAGTTTGGAGGGATAGGGGATTGGGCTGTAGCACAGACGCGCATGCAGAAGACAGTCTGAGAGATTGGGGGTACGCAGAGCTAGCAGAGACGGGAGGTTAGGAGAGACGCTGAGGCGGTTGAAGGTGGGTCTGTTGGAGATGGCAAACATGGGTCGGTAAGGACCACTGTCAAGCCATTGGCTGGAGCCGTCCTGCGCAACTTTGAAAAGTTTGGCTATACACACAGAATGAATACCATCTGCGTGTATAAGCAGCCAATGTGCTGGTCGGTGTACTAACAGGTTGGCAGGATTGGAGAGAAATGATTTATTAAAGATGTAAGTTTTCTTCAAAAATTCACCTCCGTAGCCTGACCGTCATAGGAATTATGGATGTTGACATGTAAGTCAGTGGTTCCGCATGTAGTCTTCTACCGCGTAGTAGTAATAGTGGTAGTAGTAGTGGTAGTAGAAGTAGTAGTAGTGGTAGTAGAAGTAGTAGTAGTAGTAGTAGTAGTAGTAGTGGTAGTAGTAGTAGTAGTAGTAGTAGTAGTAGTGGTAGTAGTAGTAGTAGTAGTAGTAGTAGTAGTAGTAGTAGTAGTAGTAGTAGTAGTAGTAGTAGTAGTAGTAGTAGTAGTAGTAGTAGTAGTAGTAGTAGTAGTAGCAGCAGTAGTGAAAAGTGAGCACGCCAAGCGTCCTAACGGTCGTTTTTACTGACGCCATGCAGATAAACGGAAAATTTTTTAATCTGGACCCGGCGTACTTGAGTTCACCAAGCACTGAAATTTAATTTTATCTGGTGACAGTGATTTAACTCTGATTAATGAGAGACCACGTGAGGAAAAGAGAAGACTTCAAGCATGCCTTCTGACGTAATAACTTGACTTTGTGTCGCGTGTCACGCGAAGGAAGGACTCATCAAACCGACTCGCCTGGAGGATAGAATACAGGCATGTCTTTTTGCCACAGGAAACCAGTCCAGATGTGTAACGAAGAGCAGTCGACAATAAAGAAGATTACCGACGAAGACAGGGCAATTCCCCCTTAGTTTAGCCGGCAGTATTCTTCGTCGACGCCGTTCTCTATTGCCTCAAGTACTTCCGTGAGTAGGAACTTGTCAGCAAGGATGGAGTGCGTCGATCTGGTGCCAAGTGTAAGCGCAATGTGGGCATTGAAAGTAAAACAAGCCGAAGGGGGATGCTGAAATCGTTGGAGGGGAAGGCTTCCGAGGCCGAAACGGGAATAGCAACATGATGTATGACAAATCTGCCGCGAGACTGAAGGAAGCCTAGAATCCTGTCAGAAGACCTGGTTGACAGGAAACGCGGGACAGCAATGCCCCAAACCTAGCGGTAAACCTAACCGTTACCTCAATGGTCAACCCAATCCTTAAAGTAATTTTAAACATAATGTTGACCCTGAACTGAACAGTAAACCTAACCCCAAACCTGCCACAAACCCTAGCCCTAACACTAAGCCTAACCTTAACCCTGACCCTTACCTTAATCATAACCCTGACCCTAACCTTAGCCGTAACATTACCCTAACCCCAACCTTAGCACTAAACGTAAACCTACACCGCACTCAAAACCCTAACTCTAACCGTAACCCTCTAACTTAACACAAACCTTAACGGTAAACTCATTTCTCAGCCTGACACTAACCCAAACCCAAAAACTAACCCTACCTCTAAACTTAGACGTCAGGTTGCCCTTTTCCGTTTTAGCTTTGGCTACTTCCCTGTTAACGATTCCGACCTCCTCCTTCGGGTTGCTTTACTTGCAATGCCCACACTGCGCTTATATTTCGGACCAAGTCAGCGTAACCGATCGCAACCAATGTGCCGACTTTCAAGAATGACACTGGTTTTGAACCTATAACAGGAGTAGTTCGCTTAAGTTCTATCGTGATCGTACAGCCAGTGCCATAGCCACCTGGGCTACGATGCCCCACCTACCAATAATATGAGCCTGGTAGTCATCGGGTGGATTCGAGTTGGATTGTTTAGGAAATCCTGCTTGGGCAGCAGGTTAACTGCACCAGAATTGGTGGATTACATGCCTCGCAGTAGGCTGGGGTAGCCTGATCAAAATGCATTTAAACTCGCGGCTCAGGTGGCTACTGCGTTGGCTATAGTTAAGCCTACCCCTTGCTGTCGTGGGTTCGAATCTCGCCGAGGTCACGGCCCTTTTCTCAGTTGAGCCAAAATAAGATCAGTCTGTTTGCTTGGTTCTTGGCATTGACACCTGGAGACGTCCCATTGTTGAGTCGGGTCATTTCTTTCCCTATTTTCACCTTCAGATTTCCCCTGATGTACTTTGGGCAGTGTCTTTTTCCCTCCCAGTTTATGTAGTTCCATTTTTACAAGTCATCTGTTCGACTGGCGACTTGAATTTAGTCCACTTGGGCATCTTGGTTGTACGCGGGCGAGTGGCGTGTCTTCTCAACTATGCCAATCGAAGTTGGCATGGACCGGTGGATCGTTGGATCGGTGCAAACCAAATAATTATTCGACACAGAAGCTCTAGCGTAGGAGTACACAATAGTAGTAATAGTAGCAGTAATAATAATAATGACAATAATTTTGGAGTTCTCTACTTTAAAAGAGGAGACGAGTTTGGAGGGAGTGGGGATTGGGCTGTAGCAGAGATGCGCATGCAGAAGACAGTCTGAGAGATTGGAGGGTACGCAGAGCTAGCAGGGACGGGAGGTTACGAGGGGCGCTGAGGCGGTTGAAGGTGGGTCTGTTGGAGATAGCAAATATGGGTCGGTAAGGACCACTGTCAAGCCATTGGCAGAAACCGTCCTGCGCTGCTTTGAAATGTTTGGCTATACACACATAGAATGAATACCATCTGCGTGTATAAGCAACCAAGGTGCTGGTTGGTGAACTGACATGTTGGTAGGCTTGGAGAGCTTGTGTGGAGAGAAATTATTTCTTAAAGATGTAACTTTTCTTCAAAAATTCACCTCCGTAGCCTGACATGCAAGTCAGTAGTTCCGCATGTAGGCTTCTACTGCGGAGGAGGAGCAGCAGCAACAGCAGCAGAAGCGTTGAGGCGCCCGTGTGGAAATATGGACGTATTCAGTCTGCAGTTGGAACGAAACAAGACCAGAGGTGAAAAAGAACACCTGGAGCGTCCCAACGGTCGTTCTTACCGACGCCATGCAGATAAACGGGCAATTTTTAAATCTAGACTCGGTAGACCTGAGTTCATTAAGCACTGAAATTGAATTTTACCTGGTGACAGTAATTCGACTCTGATTAATGCGAGACCACGTGAAGAAACGAGAGGACTTCAAACATGCTTTCTGACGTAATAACTTGACTTTGTGTCGCGTGTCACGCGAAGGAAGGACTCATCAAACCGACTCGCCTGGAGGATAGAATATAGGCATGTCTTTTTGCCACAGGACACCAGTCCAGACGTGTGACGAAGAACAGTCGACAATAGAAAAGATTACCGACGAAGACACGGCAATTCCACCTTATTTTAGTCGGCAGTACTCATCGTCGACACGGTTCTCTACTGCCTCAAGTACTTCCTTCAGTGTAAACCTGCCGGCAAGAGGGATACTGAAATCGTTAGAGGGGAAGGTTGTCGAGGCTGAAGCGAGAAAGGCAACCTGATGTTTGACAAATCTGCCGCGGGATTAAAGGAAGCCTAGAATCCCCCCAGAAGACCTGGTTGACAGTAAACGTGAGGCAGCAGTACCCCAAACCTAACAGTAATCCTAGTCGTTGCCCCAATAGTTAACTTAATCCTTAAAGTAATTTTAAACATAACGTTAATCCTGAACTTAACACTAAGCCTAACCCTAAGCCTATCACAAACCCTAGCCCTAGCACTAAGCCTAACCATAAATCTGACCCAACTCCTAATTCTTACCTTAATCGTAACCCTGACCCTGACCCTAACCTTACCCTAACCCCAACCTTAGCACCAAACGTGAACCTAAACCGCAATTCAAACCCTAACTCTAACCGGAACCCTTTGACTTAACACAAAGCTTAACGCTAAACTCAATTCTCAGCCTGACAATTACCCAAACCCAGAAACTAAGCCTACTTCTAAATCGAGACATTAGGTTGTCCTTTCCCGTTTTAGCATTGGCTACTTCCTCGTTAACGGTTTCAGGATACTTTACTTGCAATGCCCACACTGAGCTTACACGTGGGACCAAGTCAGCGTAACTGACCCCAACCAATTTGCTGAATTTCAGGGGTGACACTGGTTTTAAACCTGTAACAAGAGTAGTTCGCTTGAGTTCTATCGTGATCGTACAGCCAGTGCCATTGCCACCCGGGCTACGATGCCCCACCTACCAATAATATGAACCTGGTAGTCATCTGACGGACTCGACATGGATTGCTTAGGAAATCCTGCTTGGGAAGCAAGTTAACTACATCAGAATTGATGGATTACATGCCTTGCAGTGGTCTGGGGCAGCCTGATCTAAATGCAATTAAACCGCGACTCGGGTGGCTAGAGCGTTGGCCGTAGTTAAGCCTACCCCTTGCTGTCGTGGGTTCGAATCTCGCCGAGGTCACGGCCCTTTTCTCAGTTGAGTCAAAATAAGATTAGTCTGTTTGCTTGGTTCGTGGAGATGCCCCATTGTTGAGTCGGATCATTTCCTTTCTTATTTTCGCTTTCAGATTTCACCTGAGGTGTCTTTTTCCCTCGCAGTTTATGAAGTTCCATTTCTACAAGTCCACCTTACCATCTGTTCGACTGTCGACTTGGAGTTAGTCTACTTGGGCATCTTGGTTGTGAGGGGGGCGAGTGGCGTGACTTAGCAACTATGCCAATCGAAGTTCGCGTGACGCTGATGGGTGCAAACCAAACAATTAATCGACACAGAAGCTCTAGCAACGTGCGTTCCAGGCAAGGCTGTAACGACCGGTTAAGCTATCACCCCCCCTCTCCCTGTGCTGCTGCTCCAATCCCCCCTCCGAACAGCCGGCACTGAAAGCTCGACACACCGGCTTTGAGGGCGTAAGTGCGTTCTCACGGTCGTCAGTTCTCACGATGAGCAATGACCCTGAAACTAACAGATTTAACTGAACTTCCCGCCAATAGCCAGCCTTCTCCTCTGTCCGGAATACCGGTTACCCATTTGGCCTTGGCGAAATTAGGCGTGTCGCGTTTCACTTCCAAGCACGGGCTCCCTGACCTGTCGGCTGCGATCGCGTATATACAATGGTAGAGGGGCGCTCAACGATCGCGTTACGAAAGTCACTCGTCACATTGTGCCTTGGGGCACTCCCTACCGAACCCGTAACTCCGTGTGTAGGACATTGAGCTTCTAACCAAAAGGTCTCGGATCAGGCCCCAGGGGTCGCACACCTCGGGATTGGGTATGACTAGCTGACGGCGGCCTATAAGCCACAAATGGTCATTCCAGTCTGCCCATATTACGCGCTGCGGTAACAATCCGGAGATGGCACTCAAAAAAATCCGCCTAACCAAAGCAGCCAGTCTTACGGGACAGGTGGTAATAGGGGTTTTATGGGTGCTAGCTGGTCGGGATGTACGACACCAGCCGACAGAAAGCCTTATTTGAACAGGTGTAAGATCGAAGTTGGCCCGCTCTCCGTCCCGTTATTACAAAATGGGTCGCCAAAGGCAGTATACTGGTAACGGAAGAGTGGAAGGCGTATAATCGTCTTCCCTCAGAAGGTTATCTACATTTCTCTGTTAACCACTCAAAGAACTTCAAGG